ACGATTTACTCTATTTGGTTATATCATAAAAATAGGCCGAGCAATCTCGACTATGATGTACGATTTACTCTATTTGGTTATATCATAAAAATAGGCCGAGCAATCTCGACTATGATGTATGATTTACTCTATTTGGTTATATCATAAAAATAGGTTCCGAGCAATCTCGACTATGATGTATGATTTACTCTATTTGGTTATATCAATAAAAATGGTTCCGAGCAATCTCGACTATGATGTATGATTTACTCTTCTAATGTATCCACACTTATCGAAACCATGTTCGTACATTTTTTCTTAATCTCAACATATGAACATTTCTCACATTTTTTAAACATGTTTACACGTAACCAAGCTGTGCGTATAGAGGTTTTACACTTTTAACATTCTACATAATTTCTTCTCTAAATTCTCGTAACTTACCAAGACTTAATATGTGTACGTACTTTCTAACTGTAACTTCTGAATTTGTACATCCGAGTTTCTGAGTGGGTAAAGTGACATGCTCAAGAGGTGTCTACTACCTCTGGCAAGACATTATACATCCAGTAGCCTTTTTCTCTTTTTTCATTTGTGATCGTGTAGCTTTGTGCTTAATTACAAACAAACCCGAAGATGAGATTAGAACACATGTGAAAAAACACTGAAATTTCTCAAAATTAGTTTGACTTGAAATCGTCTGGCGAATATTCACTTATATTTTCACACAATAATAAAAACGCTGGCCACGGGATTAACTGTGCTTTGCCTACGGCGGGGATCAAACCTCAAATTATTATATTACAAACCCTCAAGATTACTACTGAGCCTCTAGGAGGGCACACAATAATAAAAACGCTGGCCACGGGGTTAACTGTGCTTTGCCCACGGCGGGGATCAAATATCAAATTATAATATTACAAACCCTCAGGATTACTATTGAGTCTCTAGGAGGGCACACAATAATAAAAACGCTGGCCACGGGGTTAACCGTGCTTTGCCCACGGCGGGGATCAAACATCAAATTATAATATTACAAACCCTCAAGATTACTACTGAGCCTCCAGGTGGCAACAAAATTTATGGACCCCCAGTGACACAGCGGTATGTCTGCGGACTTACAACGCTATAATCCGAGTTTCGATACCCGTGGTGGGCAGAGCACAGATAGCCCGTTTCTTTAGTAAACGACACTTGTTTTCTTCACGTTAAGTAATTGTTTTCTCCACATTCGTCAATCACAATTTTTTTTATAAATTTCTGGTACGTAACATTCAAGTTTCTTAACGTTAAAATTGTTTGTTTACACATTAAGGTCCAAATATTGCAACACGTTGAGAAGTGCTGATGTTGTTGTTTTCAACAACATTCTTCATAATTTGTTCGTTGTGGCTCGAAATCAGAGGTATCTAAAAACAACAACAACAACAAAAAACCGCATTTCAGATGTATTTTGTCTCCTACAAATAAGCTTTTCGCTCAATACCAGAACTCATCAGTTCGGCTGGATTATGAGAGACAAAAGATTCTATGAAACATTATATATATATATAAATATATGTAGTACTGTGCAGTGACTACCTAATAACTGATCTCCGGATTTTAGCGTTGCAAGTCCGTAAACTTACCACTGAGGGACAGTTAGGTGTGAAATGCTATTTTTTAGCGTTGCAAGTCCGTAAACTTACCACTGAGGGACAGTTAGGTGTGAAATGCTATTTTTTAACACAATGGACAAATTAAGAGGAACGTGTGGAAGAAAAATCTACTGCAGTAAACTTGTTTCGATAAAAAATTTTAGGCTTAATGGTTTATACAATATTTCGCCGGCTATAGGCATTGAAACTGTAATATTCATAACTAATCCAAAACAAACAGTTTTCCTTCTAAGATATACGGGGAACCCGAATTGTAATTAGTGGTGTTAACTTCGATATTGATGGTAATTTTTGTTGAACATTTTTTATGTGACCCGTAAGTTACCAAGGAAACCAACCAGCCTTGTATAAATTGATTTAATAAAACACATCGACAAACAGCTAACCCTTTCTTTTCAAAATATACCAGAACCATGTTTCTTACATAGAATTACCAAATGGTTCTGGTATATGGTAATTCTATGTAAGAAACATGGATCTGGTATATGGTAATTCTATGTAAGAAACATGGATCTGGTATATGGTAATTCTATGTAAGAAACATGGATCTGGTATATGGTAATTCTATGTTAGAAACATGGATCTGGTATATGGTAATTCTATGT